AAAATAATAGGATTATTTGTAACGTGACACAGTTACAGGGTGTAGAAACACTCAGACGCCGTCACATAGACTGGATCTGCAAAAAACGAATAATTCTCAAATGACAACCTCTCAATTCTGGCTTCCTGTGGTGTTTGAATGAACTAATGATACATCTGTACTTGTTGAATACTTGATTTCGAATTCTAAATACAGTACATTCGTTTGTGGTTATCTAGTACTTCTTGATCCGATTACGTTACTTCTGGGATTCTTAGTTCGTACTATAATTCAGATACTTTTGATTATCACATTGGCGTCGCGATGAGGCCTGCGATGGAACAGTTAGATATTCAACCAACTTCTGAAGCTTTTGAGAATTATTTGGGAAGGTTTGAAATCTGGAGCATGACCAAGAAAGATGTTAAAGGTGATAAAATTGTAGCACATTTCCTGACATTCGTCAGAAGAGAAGCGTACAGCTTATTAAAAACTTTGGCATATCCAGAAAAATCTATCTCACTTCCTTATGCAACTCTTAAAGATCTATTATTAAGTCATGTAAAGTGTACTAGTTTTGAATGCCGTGAAAGGGCGATATTTCATAAGATGGTCCGTCGAAATGATCGATAGGTTAGGGAATTCATCCTTGAATTGTAGAAACAAGCTGCCAAATGTAATCTCGGTGATCAACTTCATGTGCAACTGAGAGGTCGATTAATTGCAGGGATTGACATAGCGGGTTTGGAAAGAGAGCGGTTAAGAATGCCAAACTGTTCCTTTCAAGATGCTAGAACTGCGTGTATTAACTACGAAGCAGTAAATGAACTTGATATCCAGTCGATGAAGATTTCTAATACTTTGCTTAGTCGTCATGATGAACCTACGTCGACGAAGGTTTCACATACAACTTAGCAGGCGTTTCGGAGGTAAACCTTAACACCTCCCTTGGCCCTAATATGGTCCGTAATGTTGTACTAAGAGAATCAGCTTCAATATTGACAGGCTCGAAAGTGTAATTTCCTCACACTCACTGGGCCAAATGGCGGTTCTATAAAATTGGAAGCTGGAAAGGATCACACCAATTTCCAAAAAATATCAACGTTATGAACCCCCAAACTGCTGGCCGGTACGACCTCTTTCAATACCCTCAAAAGTAACAGAGTCCTTGATACAAGTTTGTTTTTGCGACTAACTGTTATCTATAAACTCTTCACCCGAAAATCGCCGTTTCAGGAAGGACCAGTCCTGCATTATCAATTTGTTACTTGCTGTGGGTAGATAGTAATAATAATAATATATTTCTGCATGAGCAGGTACATGCCATTTTTACAGGCATGATCTACAAATTACAACATTTGTTGGCGCACAGCATGCTTCCCAACTTATTAAATTTTTAGTCGTTACAAAGTAGACTCGTAGAGCAGTTGCTGTAAACCATGGCCTTGAGGAGACGCGTACGTCAAGTTTGTCCCAGACGTCAGTAGTTCCATAGCTGTGCCCTCAGAGCAAGATTCTGAAGAAAGAAAAAAGAGAAATAGAAGAGCAGCAATGAACTTGGATATGAACACCAAACGTTGCTTAACATTGTGTAGAGAAAGGTATAATAATTAAGATTAAATTCACACTATCTCTTGTTAGAGTGAAATGAAGTCAGAGGCTCTGTATAAGAAAATGTAGTAATGAAGAACAATGAGTTGTGATGTTTAACAAGTTGGAGTAAGCTCACATGGAGGAAGTGAAGTCAATATTGGTACAAGGAAAGCGGTTTATCAGAAGGTAGCGTACATATAGAGGGTGAAGTGTTGAGAATACTAGTGACTATAATTTTTGTTGTCTAATTTCCTCTTTCTCTTCTTTTTTGTCCATCCAATGCCAGCCACACAATCCTAGTGTAAAAGTCCGAGTTAGCATGTTATAGGTTGCTATAGTAGAATAGTTAATCCAGCATAAAATTGGAAACGTGAGTCTGAGTGGTGAGCGTAGGAAGATAATCTATATCACAGATTGATTGACTCGTTCCCAATCATAAAATGCCTGATACATACAAAATGTTCTGCCCCACAAACATGAGTGGACTGAAGTCATCGCCTTCAATATCAATGCTTGCTAATCAGTAACTCCACCCTCCCTCCTTTTACGATGTTTGGCTCATTTAAGCTTATTTTTGGACATATGTTACACCTCACACAATCCTCTGTGTTTCACATCTTGTTGAAAAACAATATTTTTACAAGTACCACTTTACAAGCTCATCAGGCAGTTACAAGTTATAGACTGTGGGTAAAGTATCGATGCAGTACTTTAATTGACTATAGTATGAAGTATAGTATGCCAATCAGAGTATAAGCATTAGGAAGGGTATAACGTAGGATAGCTGCCTATTAAAGTAGGCGGAAAAGTATAGAAGTATGTGAGTTGTAGATAAGGTAACGAGTGGAGTAATAATATTAGTTGCTAGTCAAAATATTGTACAGAAGAGGAAAAGCTAATAAAGAATAAACAGGAAGAAACCCACACTAAATTGGTGCTGATGTTATTTTTTGTTGTCCTAACCAGTTGATGGGTAACAAGCTCCATAGATGCATGACCACTGGTAGTAGGCAGTCGATTGTGCGGTTCTCTCGACTATTTAGTGTGGTAATGAGTGCCCCTCAGCGACCGAGTTTAGTTGAACAGTATCGATAGGTCGAGTGAGTTACCTGTTTACTTCAAGTGAAGAAATAGGGTGGTGAAAGTAAATGATACAACTGCAAAGTAGGAAAAATAAGGCAAAGTGAACTTGAAGTCCATTTCGGTCTAGACATGGAGAGAGCCTATGATGTTTGATTGAGGCGCAGATGTGTTCGTGCGTGCTAGATCAGTGCAAGTGAGTGCTTGATCAAGCAGTTTTACAAGCGTATGTAATTCATCTGCCATGTGTATTTCGAAGGGAAGACTGTTCCATATTATTGAATACTTGATAAGGAAGAAGTTTTCCCGAGTTTTTGATCTGTATTTCTCAACTTTGACGGGCAAGAACTATCTTACATGTTGAATAAGTAAGGTTCTTGAGTAGTTTGAAGTAGAGAATCAAATAAGACCCAAGCCTTCTCTCTCAAAGGGTTGCGATTCTTAAGATTTGGCATCGTGAGCTGTAGTCAAAAACCATCATTGATCCCAAAGGGAGGGTGGATGTGATATAGCTCGATCTACTAAAAACTTTTAGCGAGGTCAGTCATACATGTCTTCTCGGTTAGCTCAAGCTGATAGGTATAAAGTTACCACTGACAAGCTGGTTGAAGCAATGTATAAATAAGCGACTTTTAAGGTCAGGGTAAACTCACTTCTCTTAAGGCTGCATAATATCCTAGTGGGGTGCCCTGAGGTTCAGTACAAAGACTTCTCTTGTTAAATTATGTAGATGACGGTTCTCAACGAGTATCGTCTGGGTTATCACTTTTCAATGACGACGTTATACTTTGGAGACAATTTGGCGATTGGAGTAAGAAACTAAAGCTCCATGGGGATTTGATGTGACTTCAAGGTTGAGCAGATGGTAACGGACATACTTTTAACATTTCGGATGGTAAAGCATTTCATCTGAGATATGCTGCGAGCTACGCTTACAACTTAGGTATTGCCTCCTCTCCAAGTTAAAAATGATCTGGGAGTCTTGGGACTCCATGATCTACAATAGAGTGGTGGGTTAGTCCCGTCTCCCTGAACTACCTAAGTTGGCTGGCAAGGTTGGCCACAAAATCCAGCAGTGCCATGAGGAGGCTTAAAGTCGGATTTCGCTGTCCATTTACAGTTCGAAAATATAGTGTTTACTCCCTCACCCCTAAAAGATGGTAATAATCTGGAATGTATCCACAGGTGAGCTACAAGATCAATACAGAGACTGGGATTCAAACCTTATGAAGAATACCTTAGCTAAGTGGGTCTTTTCTAGTTAACATATAGCGGCGTCATTGGTGAGCTCATGATTTCTAGCTTCCTAAACACACTTGGTCGTCCCCTTAAATCCTTACTTAAGCTCAGTTATAACGCAAACCTTAGAAGGAAATACCCAAAAAGTAGAGCCACAACACAGAAGGCTCAAAAAACCCTACACTCACCTCTTACGGACATTCAACTTTCGGAATCCTCCGTCGTTTAAAGTAGTACAAGCGACTTTTCACTAGTCCTTCAAAGGAAAACTAGATATATTCTAAAGGCCTCAAGGTAGTATTTCACAGCAATTAATATTTTCTTTCTACTTGTAAAATGTACCCGAATCTATAACTGGAGGCAGTGGTGAACATGAGAGCTCGTTAAGCGAAAGCTTCTTCTAATGCTTTCACAACTATTTGATCCGTTTCGCATCTAAGACTTATAAAGCTATTTTTCTGGGAATTTGTTTACGGATGTACTCCTAGTAAGAAATCTAACAAGGATGAATCATAAAATTTGATGCTGACTTTTACGTGGTCAGAATCACTAAATCGTGGTATTCCTTACTCCAGGCGCTAGTAGCGGTATCTTCTGTAGTGACCTACAAGAGGAGGTTCGATGCTTGCTTTATTATGGTAGGTTGTGAGAGGGATCGCCTCAAATATCACTTAACGGTTCCTTCAACCTCTAATAACTGACTTCAGCCTCAAGTTTTTTAAAAAGAATCAGTGAACTCCTAGTTCATTGTCACATACTTCTGGGCATTTGGAATGAGCCCTTGGTTTCTATGAGGTATGAGCCTTGTTATACTCCCAAATTGAAAATGGCGAGCAAGGCTATTTTTACGCTTCAGCCTTGACAGGGATATAACAAGGACTATACTTTTTGAATACCAAGACGTCATCATATCGCTAAGACTCAGATCATAAGGACGAAATAGTTGGTTAATCCCGACATGCAAAATTCGAAGTTTCTAAGTTAAAAGTCAGACAAAAAAGAGTACACCAAACGTATTTTTGATAAACTTAAGTTATTGTGAGTCTTATATACGATATTTCATAACTTTTGACAAGTACAAATGGTTCTTTGGATTTTGTTTGTATGGACTCAAATCACCATATTTTTTGATCTGCATTGTTGCGCTACGTTATCAGGGATTTGTTGTCAGTTGAGCTAGATCTATAATCTCTCGGATCGGTTACATAATGTGGAGTACAAATATAGCATAAATCTTCATCCCGGACTTAAAAAGTGTAATGCGGTCTAAACGAAACGATATCAGGTAAATCACTTTAAACTTTAATCCCTGTAGGATTTCCCGTAAATTTGTCCCAAATCCTGGATCATTAAAGACGACAAAAAGGGACAGACATATCCGGTCCATAAGGTACTAATAATACATAACTATTTCAAGTTTCAGCAGTGCAAAATCAAAGTCGAAGAACGATGACAATGATCAGGACCTAACCACGTGAGTATTACTTTTGTCTCATACTAGTTTCAGGACACCTAGCGACAAGGTTTCTGTTGTTAAAGATAACCGTAATTCTGAAAGAAAGTCGAAAAACTCCGCTGCTTCTAACCTGGGATCCAGTCTGAAGTCAAGAGTCATGTCAGATCCAAAGCGAAAGCTCACTGATACAAGTGACAGCCGTCTAGCGTTATCCGAACAGAAGCGTAAACGCTCAGGGGCTGAAAACTATATCAACAAAAGGTTTTTATATGACGTCGTAGAACCTCCTAAGCGTAACCGCCAGAAAAAGTTCCTGCACTTTACAGACCGGTCAACAGCTGCTCTCATGGCTGTTTCCTCCGCCAACCTTCTTAAGAAACACAAGTCGAAACTTAGTGTTTCTTCACAAATCCCTAGCGAACGTGATTTATTTCCTCGTGTTAAAAGTCGGCATGGTCGACGCCTCAAGCCAAAACATGAGTACAGTCCTTCTCAATCAGCTGATGAACATCATTCTTTTGATCAACCCCTTTCCACTGACAGTAGTTGGAAACCCATCAGAAAAAACAAAATTTTATCACAGGCAACAAAATCACGATCTGAACACAAATCAGATACGACCAACTATCTCAAACATGACAAATACAATAAAGAGTACTATTCGTCCGATGAAGATCGGGAAGGTAATGAACTTGAAGGAATTCTTTCATCTAAGACCTATGTGAGCATCTGTTTTGTTAAACCTTTTTCAAACATATTTTGACACTTGTATTGTTATTGTCCCTTACTAGGTCGTATTATGTTTTAAGCCGTTTCTGTGTAAGATATTTTGTATTTAACACCAAACCTCTTGTGCTAGACTTTTTTAAAAGATAGGTAAGTTTCTTAACACTGCATTGTTTAATTGTGTCTTGCATAGAACATAGCCATTGGTTTCCGCTAGTTGTTTTATTGGTAATTACCTTTTGACATCAAACCAACAGCGTGAAATCAGTCTGCAAACTGATCACAAAAGATATCACACATGATGCAACAGAATATGGTGATTATATTTAAAATCAACCTCTAGATTGTCACGTGGCTTAGGCGAAATGTGTTTCCATCCTATGAGTGTGTTATTATTATTTTTATTATTTTAACACATAGATATTGGTACAAGGAGGCACCAAATACATATGCGCCACACAAATATCATTCGATATGTGTGGGAGTTGTAATGCTGCCTGGGTGCCCAAACCGAAGCAGGTGGTTTTCTTAGGGGGCCACTCCCCGAGCCTTCGACCTGAAGGTCTGACCCTCAAAACAATGGAGCATCGTAAGAAGATGCAGTCCCATGGTAGCCGGTCACCAACGATTGGTTCATACTCCATTTGTTCCCACAGGATACTGGAGCCCATGTGCACCATTGTTTTGTGATCCGGTTAAAGCGCCGGACATTCGCTTTTCGTCCTCATTTTTGTAAACAACACCCCCGCCACGAGAAGGCAGTGAATAGGACTTCCCTGGTAGAGGCTATATACTCGTGGCCATGTGAGAGCATTTCGAGAGGGAGGGCGGACTCGCCCCACTCTCGGCCATACCAGGGCATTTGGGGGCCTATGAGTGTGTACTCAACAGTGTGTGTCGGTTGTTAAGGTCTTTCATCTGCATCGACCAGCGTCAGTCAGACAACGTAGAACTTGTATTTACGTACGCCGGAGTATGACAAAGTCTACCAACCGTGTTGGTTACTGGGTTGTTGAACGATATACGAACAATGCTTCGAAGGCATCTATGTTCGAAAACCTGCAGCTTACAAATGTCTTATTTTCATAGGGATATTGTAATACAGAGCAGACTACTGAGTACACTCACCCATTGAACTCTGCAACTAAGATCGGTGTTAAAATTACCTAGCCACCGCCTATCTTAGCATGCCTTGCTGCCAGAGTAGGAGTCAAAAGAGTTACAACCACCAATCAAGACTTTGGATCAGTTAATAAAGGTACTACCGACCTGGGTCGTATTGATAAGTGCGGACTACCTGGTTGTAATTTACATGATAACGATCACCAAGTAGAATTGGATGATGGTGCGAAATTGGTCACAGTGACTCAGATCCACTCACTTTCTCTTAGATCGCTGTAGCTGACTGACTAGTTGGAGGTTTCATTTTCTCGAATCATGCTGTTCTGTCGTTACTACTATTTCTTCTCTTTAATATTTTAGTGGATTTCAAGTCCCCATATTGTGACGGGACAACTCTGAGACATTTGTGTCAGGCTTTATGCTGAATATAGCTAGCTTTATCAGAATATAGTAAATGCATTACAAAAGCTGTTCCTGTTTAGCCTTCAGATTTTCGAACCCAAACTCCCTTTGTACATATTTTTCTAATCTTACTGAACTTACTAAAAACACGACATGAATATCTAATGATGGTGATTTCACAACAAAATTGCCACCTGTCATTTAGAAGTCCCAAGTATTAATTCATTTTGTTTATAAGCAAAAACTAGGGTTCTTATTTTTTAAACTGCAGAAAAGTAGTTAGAACTAGGTTTTAAACCTCGAACTTAGTGGCTAAAGGTTGAGCACTTAACCACTAGCTCACTTCTGTGATATACTTCTAAAGTGTCTACGTTTCGATTTCCTCTGGTTCCCAAGGATAATATAGGCAAAAAGGTGGTTGGTGATGTATGCTATGTATATGCACTCTGTGCCGCTATTATTCATCGAAGCCATAGCTTAATGATTAAATTACTCGCATTACAACCAATTAGTCGCAAGTTTGAATCATCCTTTTTTACGTCGACTTAGAAATTCAGATAGTACCTCCAGCCCTTACACAACGTGTGGCTTATAGCTAAGTGCTAGGTAAACCATTGCCATTAGCTGCTGATCTCGGTTATATTAGTGCGTAGAATAATTGGGGTTTTCAATATGGTCGTGAAATATAGCTGGAAAGGTTAGGTGTTGTCATAAAACAATCACAGATACATTAGTGCTATTTCATTTCTTGATTTCATTCATATTTTTCAAACTATATTTCTTATACCTAATTTCGCATAATTTTGACCCTAACATTCAAAATTGATTTCCGAAATACTACACATGGCAAATCTGACCTTAGTTACAAATATGATTATCATACATTGAAACAGTGCTATAACAATTAGGATTGGATTTTAACTAATTTCTCGAAAATGATGTTTCTTCATCTCAGTTGCATTTAATGAATTATCAGATTGATTCCCAATCCGAAGGAGTGACAATTTCATGACCTTTTGTACTACTTCACTGGCTATAAACATTGTAGGATCCCGGGCACAAGTATACCTCAGTCAAAGATGCTTAACAACATCAGCACAATAAGTTGAATTTAAAAAGATGGATAGAAAAGAAACCGAAATAACAATAGTAGCATAAATTATGTTAAGAAACTTAACATAAAAATATGGTTTGAAGAGAAAGGATACAAGCGAGAAATCGGAACACGAGGTATTAATGAAACTGAAGACCTAGGGGAGGACAGGGAATGAATGTATCTGGACCACGGTAATGGAATTTTCGCCAACCACTGATGATTATCGTACAAACTTTAACCAGGTAGTGTGTATTTTTTTGCGCAGTTCAGACCAAGAGTCAGTGACTTTATGAGCTGATGGTATGTCTCAGTTTGGCAGACCTAGACTTCTCCCAACCTGTAACAACTCCGATATGTGTAGGAACAGAAGTTTTGGGTGACTTGTTTAACTAAATCTCAGCTACAGTAGTGTGGCTTTGATGCTTAGATTATTAATTTCGTTTAACTTTTCCATTTTTTTGGTAGTATCCCGATGCGTCGTGTATATCAACTTACTCTGACATGTTTAGTGAACTTCAGAAACCAGAACAGCTTATTCACGGTCAGAACCCGGATACTATGGAAAATCATGGAAGATCGGAATTATCTAGATTAAAGAATCGTTCTAACCTTAGACGTGTACTCAGTCCAAGCTGTAACCAAAAAGGTTAGTTGTTTAGATTATTAACTGTGTAACTGAGTGAATATCAACATATATTTACTGACGTGTTTTGATCATACGAAGTAAGGTTGTGTCTGTTAACCACTTCATTTATCCTGAAAATTTTTGTCTGGTTTTCCTGATGTTGGTGTTGCTTTAAGTTCCAAGGGTGGGACAGTACCATTAATTGGGTCCCCATTAACAGTCGATTATGTGCCGTTAAATTAGAAAGTTCCATCAAAGTGAAAACGAACCGTTGTGATAAACGATGTCCTTTCGTTATCCCCGCCTATCCCAACAGATTGCAATCGGTGTGCGATCAAGGATGAGTTCTACCACCAGTTAAATGTTCTTTAGAAAGCGTGTTCGACAAATACTGTAGTATTAGCTCAAACTTGAATATACAAGTTGGGCGCCTAGGAGTCGTTTGGGTAACTAATTGGGACTTTTTCGTTGCAGGTCAGATGACGGTGACCGTCTGCTGCAAATTTGCGCAGTCTATAGTCTGTTTCTTACTAGCGCTAACTATCTTTACAGTCATCGCAGTCGTGCTATCTGGCGTTCTCCATCTGCATTTCAAGCCTTGACTCAGATTGATCACATCGCGGTCTGCTACCACTGACATGGTTATATACAAGACTGCTGCTTCTTTTGGATTACTTATCTGGAATCTGATCATCCCCTTGTTTGCGCTAATCTTACTTTTCAGTGGCCAACAAATTCATCTCCGTAAATGGATCGATGTCAGGAAAATGATTAGGGCTTCTGTTGCAACTAGATATCAAACTGAGCTAGGTTCTAGGCTAGTTATCAACCCACCGAAAAATGTAGATGAGCACTGACTGCAGTTGCATGACACCATAAAAGTGACAAGTAAAGTAGCTTATAGCTTGGCGAAACGTTCTGGTTATAAACACTAGGTTTTTACAGGCTCCTTACAGCTCATTAGAGCATGTCGGTCTACTCCGGGTAGCTAATACTCTTGTAACTCTCGGAAGCTCTTTCAACCTATCCGGGGCACTGGCAGCAAGAATTATGTGAGTGAAATAAGCTAGTGGGATGCCAGCCAACAACATCTACAGATGTCTTGAACGTTGGATCGAGTTTATCGAGGAACAGTTCAGCTGGTCTGCTGCTCTGGCGACATCGATCAGATTGTCCTGTCTTCCATGGCCGGTGACGATTAATCCACCCAATCAGGTAGAGTTCCGCAAGGAACTCCAACTCTCAGAGCTCCACAATTCATCAGGTCCAAATGACACCTCCGGCTTGTTTTAAGAGTAATGGAGACCTTCGGGTTAAGGTATTGAGTTCTCTACAAAGATCTGGCAATTACGGAGTGTTCCAGCATCATGGAATGAATCGATAATTTTCTTTATCTTTAAGAAGGGTTCATGTCACTTATGCAACAACTGTCGAGGGATAAGTCTTTTTCCGATTGCGTCCGAATTATTGGCTTCCGTCATACTTTGTTGGGTGGATTAGTTTTTATCGGTCAGGCTAGTCTCACTGTCCCTCAAAACTGTATGATTAGCCAAGAAGGATGGATATCCTAGATGCTGGATAATGAAGTTAACCTTCTCTTCTTACTTAATAAAGCTACCACTTATAAGGGTTTTCGTACCAACAGCTACCAACTGCAACCCACACCCGTCCGGACATACCACATGCTGCAATGATTAGACACGAAAGTAAATTGCGACCGACTATTACACTTGTGTTCTCCCAAATTTTGATCTCCTTATTCCTCCTTGTCTCTTTTTTCTTTTCTCAAATTTATTTCACTGTATTATACTCTTTGAATAACATCTCCAAACGCTAATTTTCCCGATTACTGCTTATACTCTTATTACCTCTACCACTACGGGATTTGAGTCGACCACTGCATCTCTGTGCTGATGTGGTATGGCAACTCGAACTGATGTACGTACGTACGAAGTTCTAAGTTGTTACTGACTGACTGAAAAACAAAAATGCGGAAGGTGCAGGGGTACATATTCAGAAAATCTTGTGTATCTAGGTTTTCTGATCATTCACATAATGCTCGTACAGCCAAACAGGACGAGGACACGGATGTATTTTGAATCGAATGCATTGACTCTCGACGTACGAACGCTGTAAATCTATCAAACAAAATGGGTGAGCGACTTGAACTAAGTAGTTCTAATAATGTTCATTTGATAGTAATATCTGAAATATCGATATCTCGAATAACAGACCAGGAGCTGCTAATATCCGTAACGTCTTTGTCTCACGAAGACAGAAAACTTGGAACGGTGGGAGGGGCAGTCTTGTACCTACGCTCCTGCTTAGTAGCACACCAAGTGTATACTCGACGGTTTGTCAGTTTTGATCAGTCCGTATTATACTCATAGCAATTGTGTGACACCCTAAGATTTCCAGTTGGTGCCACCCATAGAAAGCTAACTACTCTTGTTCGGTAGTTGTTAATTACTATCTTGTTCAGGGCTTTCATAGCGATCCATTTTTTATGAATAATGATGCTTCTTGCGGTCCATGACCTCCTGACACGTTGAAGTTAATGCTTCTCTGATTCTTTTCCAGTTGTGCTCCATATTAGTTTCCCCTTCTGTTAGTAGATCTTGTAGAGTTTGGTACCTGTTGTTGAAAGCTATCTTAAATTCCTTGAGTTTGTTAACATATCGAAGGATGGGTGTATTAAATCTCATTTGTTCAGTTTCCCCACTTGTTTAGTGTTTCTTTAGCTTCACTTTCATCTTGGCAACTGCCAGGTAGATGGTGATCTAAAGTTATGTTAACTCTCCTCCTGGTTCTCACGTCTTCCATTGACTTTGTAAATTTTTTACTGATGCAAATATGATCGATCCGATTCTCTGTAGTGTATGCGAGACCCATGTAACTTTGCTGGGTATGCGTTTGTGGGGAATATATAGTGCCGCCTATAACCACATAAATTTGCAAAGGTCACCATCCTAGTACCTTACTCTCATTCAGTTCATCTCGTCCCATGATATCTCCATATCCTGTGTTTTACGTTCCGACTTTGGTGTTTAGATCTCTCAGGATGTTCAGGTCCTTTCCTGAGCACTTCCTTATCGATTACAGCCTCTCAGAACTGATCTTTATCATCTTTATTACTATCATTGGTGAGTACATAACATTCTGTGACATTCATTGTGATCCCCTCCTTCTTTTTTGAATAATGCCTTGATGATTCTGGATCCATGAGATTCCGTATAAGTGATTTACGTGCTTCTTTGGACATCATCTGTGAAACTCCTTGCTTGCGCGAGGCATTTTCTTCATAATCACAATATAACAGCATCTCTCCCGAATCTAATATTTTCTGTCTACCGTGTTTCACTTGTTTTGAGAACTACAGAATTGTATTTAATCATTTCTGTAACTATTTGACTGGTCCTCACAGCCTCCTACATTGTCCAAACATTCCCTGTACATATATTAATTGTTGCTCTGGTTTTTAGAAGGGGCATCGGCCTCGCGAATTCCGAAGAATCTCGACTTTCAGCATAACGCGACATAATTCTCCCTTCAACTCCCCGGGCAGTTTTAATGGTTTAATTTGTTTATTCTGGTTGACGTGTTTTAGCGAGATTGTTTTCTACGGAATGTTGTTATTGACCCCATACCAAACCCCCTACTTTACTCGGTCTTGGGACCGACAGTAACCCCAAAGGGGCTACAGGCGATGTTAAGTAAACTTTAAGAGCTTTAGAACTTTAAGTCAAATGAATTACTGCTATTTCAAATGTCACTTCAGTGAACTTTTATTACGTTTTTAAGATAATGTTTGCTTTGTTTTTTTGCAGAACCTACCAATACATTTTTACGGCAAACTATGTTTCGTTCTGATGAGATTTCTCCTCCTATTGATCGACACACCACTAATATTCTTGATTTTTGCATTAGTTCGAATGTTGATCAATTTGCACATTTAAGAACCAATTTAGATAAAACAGCTATACATGAAGATGATCTGGAGTCTGCAGAAACACATGGACTCGTTAATAGACGAGTTCAACAGTCTCAAGAGGAACTGGAGGAAGATTTACTTGCTCCAGAACTTTCCATCATTACGGGCTCAAACACTGCTACCAGTTCTGATGGCGTATTAGTCTCTACATTGACAGATACTGGAGCAATGTTATCCTGCAATTCATCTTCAGGTAGCAGTCGACGAAAATCTCCTGTTAGACCAATGCAAGTGCTGAGAACAAAAACCACTCATACTTCTACAACCGCAGCACCTAATAATGCATCACCGACTATGTTAGTCACAGGTTCTGATAATAAGTAAGTTTAATATTTCGATCACTGCGATTATTAGGATATCATGCAATCATCATCTGATAATTCAACTTGTGTTTATTAATTGTAGCCCGTTTGTCTTCACATCACCATCGGTGGTTACAAATACTGTATATACCAGGTCGTTATCAGACTTAGATCTTGGCCATGATGGAGATGTGTTAACATCTGGAATGTGCTCTGTTTTGTCTGGTAACAATTCACAATCGCTTGGCGAGTCTAATCAGCCCTTAGAAAACAGTTATGTTGTGAACAATTCGGAATTAGAAATTCACTCAATCAGCGATCATTCACATCAAATATTGTCTTCTGGATCACCTCTAACATTGACATCCATTAGTTCTGTTAATCAAGTTCCAGTTTGTATTGATAGTCCGAATGTATCAAAGGGAAATACAACAGTTTCGTCAGGCTTATTGCCATCACTTCTTACTCAGTCTACTACACGCCCAGGTAATTGTGAACTATATATTATATAATTTCTTATTATGTTTTCCAATTTTTAATTCGCTACAATTCTCTACCGATAGAATATTTTGATCCACCATATAATGAGGACGATTCTCTCAAGTGCTTCATATGGCCGAAGTGAATTTCACAGTTTGCCTATCCACACTATCAAATCTTTTCTCATAATCAAAGAATGTGGTGTATAGTGATGAACTCGATTCAATTGATTGTCCAACAATAATCCGTATTGTCACAATTTTGTCGAAGCATGGTTAATCCTTGCGAAACCCAGTCTATGAGTTTCGACATTGAGCACTCTCTGAATCTTCTATTTAGTTCAGCAACACAGTCAAAAACTGCTACATCAATGTGCAAATAGTCTCTTAATCTCCTTTTTTAATGATTAATGAAATACCAACTATCTTCAATTTCATTAAATAGTAAATTGATAATAAATATGGATTCGTATAATAACCAAATATCTGAAATTAAGCAACTACATAAAATCCCTACCTTTTTTATATATAATTAATGAAAAATTATTGGCGAGACTACAATTTATGGCCAAATGAATCAGATTTGGAATAGCGCGAAACCACCCACTTAGGTAAATGGAGTTTTGGCATTATAATTAATGTCAGTTCGTGATGAAAATCCTAAATCTAATTCCTAACATTAATCATTAACTGTAAATCATAATTCTAGTTCCTCATACTGGTTTATAACCCTTATTTGGTCTTAGTTATTAAGTGAATACTCTCGAAATCAGTCTAATATCGTCCATAAATTATAGTCCCACCAAATCACTAGGCAAAAGAGCTGTGTCAAAAATTATGTATTGTTGAACAATCAAGTTTTTAGATTATTCCCAAACTCTTCCATATAACTAAAATATATTTCCTAATCATATAGTTTATAATAGATTAATATAATGTAAATCCAGTTTCTCTGAACTTCCTTTTTGACACTAATGTACTCCAAAAATTTTATATTGTTAAATATTATAACGACAGAATATTTGTTTACCTGTTCACAATCACTAATCACTTGTTTCTATTCATCAATAGTGTTTATCTCTTCGCAAGGATATAATTTAATAATCCCCATCTGTCGAACTACATATAGTACCTAGTATATGAATTAATATCTAATTACTGCATCAGGATGCATAACTTGTCTTAAATGGTTGGTAAAGCAAGATCCCAAACTCTACAAACACCGAAGAATATTTATTGTTGTGCTCCATAAAAGTACTTACATAACCAAACTAGATTTTTAAAATACAGTTATAACAGAGATATTAGTGTTAATCCAGTAGAGTGTAATAAAAAAACAAATGCCCGTCTATCATGCATCGTTCAAGCAATTATATCTAGTTATTCAATTTCCATAATTTCAATGTTATAAATTTCCCTAGAAAGAAATGATTACATACGACAATTGTAATGGTATGCTCTCTATAATTCAGATAACACATTACATATAATAACTGTTAGTTCCAGAAAAATGTCATTGATTTCAACTATATTTCACAGAGTAAGGAACAAAAGTTTTCTTCATCATAAGAATTGCAATTAAAGTTTCAATACCAAAAGAGAAACGTCTGATCTATTTTTATAACCTATAAGAGTTTTCCTTTAAAACCTTTAGTTAGTTCAGATGCTTCAGGTTGTTTTACGAATATTCAGATTTTATATGTTTTAACCTGGTCATATTAGCATAGTAATCATTAGTGTATTTGATTTATGATAGTCTTCTGTTTTCTTTTCTAGTTCCGGTCGTTCAACAACCCATCATCTCTCGTGTTTTTATGGCGCCAAATACAACACGTCCAGTCACAACTCCTGTAACGAAGCCTGTCATATCAGTTCCTCATTCTACTCTTGGTTCGGTTTCCTCTCGACGACGTCCTACTATTTTAAAGCGAACACTAGGAACTGTCAACTCGACAACCTCCAATTCACTGGTCGCTTCACGACCAACAGGTAAGACCTAGTAGTTTTTCTAAACAATGAATTAAGGATATATCTAATACCTCATTTATCAAGATGATAAATGGTCAATAAACAATTCTCACTTTTATTTGGAGCGGGAATTGTTTCGATTATAATCGACCACTGGTTTACTTGACTCATGGGTCACGTGTATTTGAACTACCAACTTAATAGTAGTGTTTAGGTTAGGTGCAAATTGTTCAACAAGGAAAGAAAATTAGTCAATTGAGTGGCGTTAAGCATGTACTAATTGAGGTTGCCTGGTCATACGCGAATTATTATCCATGACAAAACACTTCCCATCCAACATTCTATAATAACTGGACCAAAATATTATACCGATTCCTAAATAATATGAAGTAATTACTTTGGGTTTGGGTTATTCCGTAAGTATTTAGGACTGAGTTTTGATCATTTTTATTGGCATATGTGTGTGTGTTTATTTCAACACATAAATATTGGTACAAGAGGGCACCAAATATATATGCGCCATGCCATATTTGTGTGTGTGTGTGGGCTGTGATACTGCCCGGGTGCCCAGACCGAGGCAGGTGGTTTTTTAGGGGGCCACACTCCGAGTCATTGACCTAAAGGTCTGACCCACAAGGTAGTTGAGCAACGTCAGGAGATGCAGTCCCATTGTAGCCGGTGACCAACAATTGGCTCATACGCCATTTGTTCCCTCAGGATACTGTAGCCCATGTGCAACATTGGTTTGGAATCCGGTTAAAGTGCTGGACATTCGCTTTTCATCCTCTCATTTTCGTAAAACAACACCCTCGCCACGAGAAGGCAGTGAGTAGGACTTTCCTGGCAGAGGCTGCATACGCGTGGCCGTGTGAGAGTATTTCGAGAGGGAGGGCGGACTCACCCCACTCTCGGCCATACCAGGGCATTTGGGGGCATATGTGGGTTCTGCTTTGATTACCTTGATGTACCTATGATGTCATAAGTTGTTTGGAATAAATAGATTTTGATTAACTGAAGAATCCAGGGCATGCGTTTTTTTATATTTGGGAATCTGCAGTATGGACATCTACATCGGGATCTACGTACTACATCCAGCTGACAATCCTCAAATAGGACGAAACTGAGGTCCTCAACTGAAATGCTGCTCACGATCTAAGTATCATCTGAATGGTTTTTAGGATCATTCTTCAGTCCTCTTAATATATAATATCTATCATATAAGGCGAAAATTGACTAGCTATCAGTTCTTCAACGGTAAGTGAAATAATGATACAATGACTTTCCACAATAATGGTTTTGAGTTTAATCACAAACTTTTAGCAAATGATAATTTCCAGTGTTTATGGTGCCTTTTTCTTAAATTCCCATGTTATTATCGTAATTTTCAGTTTTCGAAACGTCCGATAATGATGTTGATCTGTCAACATCCTCTAGTCGCACTATTAATGTATTTAATCCTGGCAGTACTGGACAGTTACAAAAACCTATCAATTCCATAACTACGGAAGAGTCTGGATCTTCTGGGAATCTGGCCAACACATCTACTAAGTTATTACAACTAGTTACTACTACTACAACATCAACTCCTTCAGATCGTTTAAATCCTAATCAAACTGCTAGTGATCGTTTGTTTGGTAAGCGTCTTATTGCTTACAATAGAAACACATCACATACTCCTAATAATACAGTGTCAAATACCACTCAGAATTCAGGGACAACTCATCACCAGAGTCCAGCGCCAACAAGTATGTTGCGTGTATTGTTTCTATTTGAAAAAAATTTCTTAAACAAATGCTTATCTTTACTATCCACACTCACGACACTTAACTCTAACCAACTAAGAAGAAAGAGTAGAAGTTAAGACTCTAAATGTAAACATTATTAACGCTTATAGATGACCTCACTGACCCTGACAATAAAATATGAGATGAGCTTAGCTAAACAAATAATTCACTTACCATAGCTCCGACTTACCTTTCAGCTGTATCGGTGTTGAACCTAACTATTGACCTGGTCATGAATTTCATTTTATATTTCAAAATAGCCAAACTCTACCGATGAGGTGTATATTATAGAAAAAATCCACGTAACAAAAATTGTCTCACCATACTAGTTAAATCAACAATTATATTTTCGGGATAAATATCTGTATACCGACTTTCATTCAGTTCTCAGTTATATGCAGGAACATTAGTCATTGGATTACATCATGTGGAGCGGTGGAACACATTGATCACTAACTGTTAGCGAAATTATTTGTTGTATCTAAGACGTTAACCGATATGAATTGCTAGATTCTCTATTCAGAACTGTGATCATTATTTATCTACCCCGTGTATACCCGTCTATAGCCTAACGTCCTTAGCTTTGACCAATAATGCGTAAGCTTAACTCCTATTGCCCCACCAATGCCCTAACATTTAGTTCGAATGATAGAAGACAACAGCTAAGCTTCTACTGTTATATTTCAACCACCCAGCTCCTATCTCGAACACTGTTATCATATATACTTGAACTATCAGACCACAACATATCCCAAATATTAAATCATGCTTTATATATGATGTCATAAATGGCAGAGAGTGAAGCAAATAGTTCATAAGTATTTAGTAATAATTAAGGAATGGTGAAATGCACAACAATAAATAATAGGTCCATTGACGGCTTACAATAAAGAGAATATAGAAATACAATAATACAGTTACCTACTAATCATACAGTAAAAATATAAGCAACGGCAACCCTTGGATTAGTCCAAATAGTTGCACTTCAATATCCACTCTTCCATAACACAACTTATCAGTACTATCTCGAAATACACTATTATTTTTGTTTACCTTCACCGAGACAGTAGTCTGTTGTAATTGTTCAACTACTTGTTGATCAGTGAAATAGGTTTTCAGAAAAGTGCTTTTCATGAAGTTGCATAATTTGTTAGATTGATAGGTTTTTAAGTTGACATCTTATATCTGGTCATTTATTATTTAACAGTGTGAAAGCCATGTTATATAGTCACTTCTAGGATAATGATCACACAAGTTCCTCTATATTAATCAACATTTATGTTGTTGTAATACTAATTTTAAACTGTTGCTCATAATAATTGAACCAGCCAACAATTTATGTGGGAAAACACGATTTTTCTCTAACACTGATATGCCGGTTCTATTATTTGTGAAACTCATTTTTAGATTAATAAATCTTAAAATGCACATGTTTTATTATAGATACAACAATTAATACTGCAACTCCTTATCGATATGCTGTTGTTCGAGGCTCAGCAGACGGAAAACAATATGTTTTAATCAGCAACCCTCGTATGGTTGATCAGACAGTAAGTTTTAATGCTTTTTGTGTTGTCGATATTCAAAGCGATAGGTATATGTAGTAAATCTCTCAGTCAGGCTTTAAACCTTCATTGAATCAAGTGGAGGGGACATGTGTTACATAAGCTTATTTGTTATTTATTTATTTGAACACTGAAATCGATGTTTCAAGATATACCAATTGAATTATCGTCACTGTGCCTGAACACACGATGCCGAACCTCTGTATTACTAATATGGTGTTGCCACTAGATATCAACAGTCTTTCGAACAACGATGATCCTCAACACAGAGGCCAGGTTCCACAAGTATATAACAAAACTTCTCTCACCGACGCGTTGTCGACCCGGACTTTTACAACCAGACTAACATCACGAAGACGCCAAAGATGGTCCAGATTGGCATAAGCCGCTCTGGTTTTCACTATACGTGCATTGACCTCATCACTCACGCCACCACCAGCACTTATGCAGCTACCTAGATACACGAACTTCTCGATTACTTCTATCTGCTCACTACCCAGGGTGAGTGCATAATCAAGGTCCTGCCAGTTTTGTAAAAGTACTTTGCACTTCGAAGGTGCAATGTAATAAACACACTTCTGGCCCCCAAACGCCCCGATACAGTCGAGGATAGCGGAGAGTCAGCTCTCTTTCTCTTGAAATTCTCTCACATAGCTACGCGTATACAGTCACTGCCTTCTCGTGACGGGGATGTTTTTTTTCGAAATTAAGAGGACGAAAATGAATTTCCGACGCCTTAACTGAGTTGATAGATATGAAGGATCCACGTAAGGGAGTTGGAAAACCCTGATATCAAACTAATGGTGCACATGGGGCCTCGGATCCTGATGGAACAAACGGCGTAGGAACCTATTGTCGGTCACCGACTACCATGGGGCTGCATCTTTTGATGTTGCTCCACTACCTTGTGGATTGGGCCTTTACGTCAAACGCTCGGGATGTGGCCCCCAAAGAAAACCACCTGCTTGGGATAAGGAGCCCGTGCATTATTCCAGCCCTCCTACAAACCGAATGATGGAGTATGGTGCACATATATTTGGTACCTCCTTGTACCAGTGTCTGTGTTTAAATAAATGAGGCGTTGCATAAACCTAACCACCACTTACCATGGGGTGATATGCTGGTTATTATAATAGTATGTTGACTGTGGTAGATTATGATCGTACAAATCAAACATATCATTAGTCTGTGTTTAGATTGTATTTAAAAGGTTGTGAAGTAATTCTAATGTATGTTTAAATTGTTAAGTTGATTGGTTCCAAATCATTTTTATTATTTATTAACTTCTATATGTTGAACTTAGTATTCATATCTTATTCTAACCTTATTCTCACCGTTAATTATATTATGTCATTGTCTTTTGTTGTTATTGTTAATTTCATCTGACTGTACTGGTGCAAACTGTGACCCCTTAAATTAATGCAAATGACAATAGATTAAAAACTGTTTATGACTGGCTGACATTTAGAAATTTAAACACCATCATTTTTAATCATTTAAAATGTTCATGGTTTAATTTCAGAAACATGAACTTGATACTTATGCCTATAAATTTTAATAACTTACGCCTGTTACTCCTCGTTGAGGATCACCAGCACTCTCCATCCAACCCTGTCCCCAACCAATCCTTTCCAGTTGTTATTCATCTTTTTCATATCTGCTTCTATTTCCCGACGTAGTGTGTTCTTCGGCCTTCCTCTTTTGCACTTCCCTTCTGGACTCCAAGTTAGGGCTTGCCTCGTGATGCAGTTTGATGATTTGCGTAATGTATGTCCTATCTATTTCCATCGTCTTTTCCTAATTTCCAATTCAGCTGGATGCTGGTTTGTTCTCTCCCACAGTAGACTGCTGCTGTTGGTATCTGACTAATGGATGTTGAGTATCTTGCGTAGACAACTATTTATAAATACTTGTATTTTCTTGATGATGGTTGTGGTAGTTCTCCAAGTTTCAGCTCCGTACAGTAGAACTGTCTTGACATTTCTACCTATTCGTAAATTAAATCCAATCAGTTAATGAATATTCTATTCTTCAGGAGTAATTGTTACTAAATATTCTAAGAAATTATTCAGTTTTCCAGTTCAATATCTTTGTTTGTTATATGCACTAGGAAATTTATAAATACATCATATTTTGTATTTCACGATGTAAATACCCTAGTGAGAGACTATAATTTATGGAAGAACCAATTACTTATAAGGTAACAGGTTTTGGAGTTTGACGCGAAATTCACTCATTCATTCGAATAAATAGAGTTTTGACATTATAACTGATGTCATAATTTTAATTCCTCACATTAGGTTGACACACTTAAGGTCAGTCTGGCGTCGCTCATAGGTCGTCCATAATTAATAGTCTCATCTACCCTAGGATCAGAATAAGGAAAAATTGTTAATATAACTATCCAAATATCTCAATCTTTATTATATGTTGCCCCATATCTATTTCATTCTTTTATTGTTTACTTCGATATATTTCTATTTTGTATCTAAATTTCTTTCAAGAAATCTTACATGAACTGATGAAATTGTGTCAGTGATTACATATAGATGACTATACACCACTTTAAGCGTCAAGTACCTTGTACTATTAAAAAAACAACTGCCTTTTCAACCAAATTTCTGTAGCGCTTCTCGTACACACACAGTACTCACCAAATTTTATTTTGTATCAATTAGACAGGCACAAGTTACAATTTCTAGAGTGAAAATTCACATTTTTCCTAAATTCTACAATAAATATGTAGACCCAAGTTTTTGTTTATTGTCATGTTTTTTTATCCTACCAGTGACTGATTTCTACTTACTTACTTGCTTGCGACTGTTACTCCCAATAATGCATAGGCCGTCGACCAGCATTTTCCAACTCACTCTATCTTCAGTCTTCTTTTCTAGTTCTCTCCAATTGTTGTTCATTCTTCTCATATCTATCTCCATTTCTCGGTGTAGTGTGTTCTTTGGTCTTCCTCTTCTCTTCCGTTGGCCTTGAGGATTCGAAGTAAGGACTTGCCTTGTGACACAGTTGGGTGCTATCCTCAATGTGTGTCCTATCCACTTTCAGTGCTTCTTCCTGATTTCTTCCTCCTCTGAAATTTGGTCTGTTCTCTCACAGTAGGTTGTTGCTGATAGTATCTGGTCAACGGATCTGAAGTATTTTGCATAGGCAGTGGAGTTAAACTAATTTCTAACTACTGGTTAATCAACACATTTTTTTCTTGTGTGCTACATTTTTACCAATCATTAAATCGACTAAACACATGTTTATTATTCTAATTGTACAAAGTTGTTACAGTTATTGCATATGGAATGGTTGTCCTCATACTTAAATAACTGGAATTAAAATTGTGTTTCATAGTTGTATCCAAGATGGATTAGATGCTTGTTAAATCATAGTCATCCGTCACAGAGTATTAGTTTTTTTTAGGTTCAACTTTATTGGATTATTCAACAATTAGTCTTTTTCAAATCAAAATATTTCAATTGAGAAGTCATTTGTTTATTATAGTAATTAAGTGTAAATCATAAGATTTGTATGACTCGATGCTCCATATTTCTAATCATTTTCATTTCTTTCCACTCAAGGTTCATGAACAACCGGTTGCAACATTGACTACAGCTGTAAATGATGCATCCCTAGAACCCATCTACGTTTCAACACCTACAGTTGGTGAGAATTTCAATTCTGAACAACTTTTTTCTGTTGATTCCTGTGTATCAAGAGCTTTCAAAGTTGAAATCAACGGTGCCCATTTAATTCGAATGAATCCTGAAGGGCATTCGATATCGGGAAATGATCGACAAATCAGAACAATTTACACTACCCCACAAGGTGCTACAACTTTGGCAGCTACATAAATCACAAACTAAGTGTTATTTTGTTTCATTTCATTACCATTAATAATTTTACTGTCAAAATTGTTTTCAGTCTCTGTTATATCAGTTCTTTTAACTTCATTTCTAAATATACCACAACAGCATCCTGAATAAACAAATCCACCTTATATAAATCTCGTTTACATCCTAGTCCGGTATTTATACCTCTACCCTTCCAATGCCTTCGCTTTCGGTTCAATTCCGGCTATATTCATTCATCATTTCTCATTTTAAAAAAACAACAAATGAACTCATATTTTTTTGTTCGCAAAGTTGGGTTTCTACAAAGATACGTCAATTTTCTTGAATATACATGTAATCTTGTAAAACTTAACTTAGTGTCTTTTTTTTAATCACTTTCATTGCGCCTTCATCTTTTTGTCCTTTAGTGTTTGTGTATGTGTTTTCGAGCTTATTTTCTACACTGAGAAGTTTCTAATTTCATAGGAGCTTCTATCTTAATCATACTATTCAAGTTGATGAAGTAACTATTGTACTTTATCATATGTAAACACCTTAAAAGCGTTGTAATTCTAATATTATTGATGTGAATTGCTATTATCAATATCGGTATGTGATATAAATCTAATATACGTAAAGCAATTTTCCAGACTTGTAAGTTATCTGTTTACTCGTCGTTTAGCTAATAAGAGTCTTCCTGAAGTTGCATGGTACGTACTTGTGTCTCGCTCGGCTAATGATGAGTGTGCTGTTGGTGAAAATGACATTAGCTTGGTTCGATGTAAGCATCAACTCTACAATGCAAGTGTATTCGTTCTCAAGGAAGTGTATCTGTTGTTCCCAATATCCACTTCCAGCATTATATCGATACAGCGCTCGCTCTCAACTTGTGGTTCTAGGGTTGAGACACCAAAGACTACAGTTTGGAAATCTGTATGGTATCAACAGTAGTATGTCATTACTTTGGTCTATTTCATTCGTAAACTAAAGTTTATACAGATTATCTCGTAACTAACATTTGCTGTGTGAGGTTCGTTCCCTTGCAATATTCGTAAGTTCGGTTTCCAAGTTTTTTGACATGATTCGCTTTAGAGACATGGTCCTAGACTAACATGGAGTTCGTTTACTATTCAGCAGGCGAATTACTAATATCGTGCCTAGTGAAGTTACGAGGTGAATGGTTTCGAACTTGTTTCTCCACTATGGTATGTTACGTTGATTAACCATTGAAATCAATAGTCACAGAGTGATTGCTGCGACATGATCATGTGCATCATAACGCTCACGCATGTTTTCCTTCTGCGAGACCTTATCTCATCCTTTATCAAATTGGACTATTATTAATGTAATGATGTTGTTGATCTATGTGTTTTGGTCCTGATTTATTCAATTCAACGTCCACTAATCAATCTTCCGAGGTAACACGTCCGGCGCAACATGGCATGACTAAGATTCATTGTTTCCTATTGATTCTACATATTGTCTCGTAAGTATAGCATTCTTTTTGAACTTCTCCCTTCAGAAACGACGGAATTTTGTTCGCAATATAGTTTAGTAACCACCTAGCAATTAAAAACTTATTCACATTTTCAACCGTATCTCTGAACATACAGCGCAAGTTGAACAGGTAATTGAGTGTCTTGAGGTAAATAAGTTTCTGATTATCTGATATGGTGAATAGCACTAGTGATTCTGATGAGGCCATAGGTTTTGAAAATAATTACTGAGTATAGGCTGGTTTACTGGTATGACAAAGTTGGCACGAAATAGTGGTACTTATAGTAAAGTGGCTTAGTCTACGAAAATACAGTCAGTCGGGTACAACGTAGAACCAGGTATATATATTCATCTGTCCAAGTTGCCATACCTCATTAGCAAAACAAGATGAACACGGAAATACATTATTTAGTATTGAGTATTTTCAACCGTTTTTTAGCGTGTAGCAAATGTGTGTGTGCAGATGAAATTACTTCATGACATTCTATTATCAATTTTATATAAACCATACCGAACAGGATTCTTACAACCATTGAGTTGTAAATATATGACAACTTTTATAGCTGAACGAAACTCTGATATGATCGTTCATTAAAATTTTGGGGAGTCAGTTAGTTTCTATTTTGCTGCCCATATGTTATCACACTCTGTGTTGTGTGCGGATTTGGTGCCTTCTATAGGACAAATCATTCTCAGGACTGGTATTTCAGGATACCATTTTCCATTTCAAAAGGCTACCTACGACGAAGAAATATGTTCATTTATACCTTTTTGAATGGCTTACCAAAACAAGTAGCTCTGAGGATTATAGATGTTGACCTTGTTAGTGAAAACCAACACAACTCGTTGGAAGCTTCCAGCCAGGCATTCTCGTCTTATCCCAAAACAATTGGTGTAAGTTTATTCTCTTCGATATGGTCAGCGGAGAAGTCACTCGGTTAAACATTCGCTGCGTTCAACTAAAATTTCTCAACTCTTACCACCTTTTTCCTTGTTTGTCTTTAAGTTATCGTTATTAAAGTATTGTGATGTTAGAATCGTCCGATTATGTCGTATCCACAGTATTTTCATAGGCGAGCCGGTCTTCTGAAATTTCGAAGACCACTTCACTAGGTGGCTCTGTCTCTTTTTATATATTATGTACATATGCATCACTTTATTTTTCTCATATTTTCGTCATTTAAAAACGATGACCTTACGTGAAAACTTCTAACCAATTGATAGCAGTTAAATGAAATTTTGTGCAACATCTGCTTAAAAATTGTTTGATAGTTCATTGATATAAGTTACATCAAATCACATAAACGAATAGAACTACTAAACTACACAGCCTAAAGAGTTGTTTGAGCGGATTAAATAATTAAATATGAAATATATTGGATAGATAAACTAATAGGAAGCACAAAGTTGTCACTTATCAAAGAAAAGGTGATCCTGCTGATTAGACTTTATTTCCCTCCTTTCTGAATAGATCAGACTGATCAGTTAGAAGAACAATCGTACTTCGGGAAACAAAGATATCCTCCGTCATGATTAAGAGCCAAGTCAAAAGAAACTAACTTAAACCGTCAAATTCACATGAACTAGGTGAGATATCCTGAAAATCAATGCTGCGATTAAAGAAAATGATCACAGTCTCATTTATATCCAAAAGTCAACGGAATTTCAACTTAAGGTGTTAAAATTAACAGTTTTACATTCAAGAGTAACATAAAGGGTTATAGTCAAAAAAAGTATCCATGGAAAGACTTTTCAAATGAACATATGCTTACGTACAAAACATTCGAAACCGTGATCGAAAGGATTTTTACACTTCTACCATAGGAGTTACATGGGCAACATTAACGACAGAAATTAGAATAATTTTAATTGAAATAATAATATTATTCAAAACGATCAAATGTAGTGTAAAAATGTCCTACAACATTTTAAAGGTTATAGCAAAAAAAATTCTCATATTTGGTCTGAACACAAAGGACTTATGAATCGAACCCTATTCGATCAAAGCAAACTACGATTTAACATAGCGTAGAAAATTTATTTGGTTCAGTCGTATTAAATTATATCCAAACACAAATTCTTTGCCTCATTTAATTGGCTGTAAGTTTACAAGGAAACCAATTTACACCAAAATACAAAGTACCTCAGTCGGTACAATTTTCGCCAAGCAGTTAAAGGTTTCTCGTACGAGGAAAAGCTCAGTAATAAAGAGACATCAAGTATCAGAGAACCAATAATTGTATACACGACAAAATAAGGTCAAAAATATACTTCAAGGATCCGAATAAACCACTCTGTAACCCTGAGTTCAGTAAATTACGACCTTATTATCTATGACCCGGCATTACTACATTAAGTCTTTAAATCCTTGCTAGGGTTAAATGATAACGGTCCAGACAAAAAACATTGGGAAATATGAAACATGGTCCCAAGATTTATAATAAGAAGTTGAAATACAAGACAGAACGAAAGAATAAAGGAATAGCAATATATTTCAGTAGAACATTTCAAAGCTCTCCATTGATAGCCACATAGACCTTTTTTAGTACTGATGCGTTTGTAGTGTGGCGTCGAGTCGCCATTGACTATGATCACCACCACAGGAAGACTATGTGCCAGTTAACCGTAAGCCAAATATCAGAAGGCAATTGATAGGTGTAGTCGAGATGTATTTGTTGAAGATCTCGTGGTATCGAAAGAATACCGAGATCGTGACAGGTTACATGTGTGGTTGCTGAGCTTAACCGAATTCGCGCAAAGTCACAATCAACGGAAGGATGCATGTGTTTTGGTACAGTTAAACAAACAAGTACGGTAAAACAATCCGTGGTACAATTGGTTACAATAATAATAATTGCTTCCATCACACCAATCGCGTTCTCTTGATAGAAGAAGTTCACCACACATTCGTATTGGTTATTTTAATCTCGGTAATTTTCAGGTTCATCATGTGAGGACCACCTCGATATTGCATTCTAGACAGTCGGGTGGTGGTTAACAGTGGAATCTAAACCGCGCCGCTCGTCGCAATCAGGACTCATAGGGTGGATATACCTGCATTCCTGAGTTCATTTTCTCTCCGGAACTTTAACATCGATCGCTTCAAACACCATCGCTTTGTCCACTTAGCTGATGAGTCCGGAGAACCATACTGAGTTGAAATCACGGGGCGAACATCTGTAGAATTATGGTCTACTATGATATTAGTAGTGATCTAATATTAGACCTAATCCTAACATTGTGGATCTTTGATCCCACCTTGTTGGGAATATTTGTATTGATTATCAGGTATCAAACCCTTTAGTATTAACTGTTTCCTTCATTGTTTAGCGCGATACTTTGCGTTAGGGAAACTTCTGACTGTATAGCACAGGCTATACCGCTTGAGGTATTTTGTATTTCTGATGTAATCTGTTCTGTTTTCTTAATTAGAACCGTTTATATTGGGCACAGAGTTTGTATTTTGATATAATATTATACGAGTATCTCAAAAACGCATTGTGAGCTATACAGAGGAACGTGGTCTGGTCTGATCAAATAAATTTTGTGTTTGTCAGTCCGTTGTTCCAACCGAATATTGGTTGTTCGGTCGCTACACACTTTCTGGACTTCACTATTTTCCACCATCCAAATCTACTTTTGTAGCATCAATTTTCATACCACAAGATCATTTTTAGCTTTACTTTTAGCTTGCCTATTGTCAGGTGACGATTCGTACCTATATCAAATCTTACCAGATCTTCAACCGGTGAAACTGCTGTGGTTTTTACTGAGCTATAGAATCAGAACACAAGAATTACCAGGCTGTGTAGGATCAAAATTGATTAGAAATCTGCGGATTTATCCGAATAGCACAAATGAGATAAATAGAACTCTGAAAATGTTTTAATCAATACCATGCAAACAATATCTTCATAAAACAGTCCTCTTACAATTTTCGCCTAACGCAAATTTTCATCATTATTTATATAACCGATACCTTTGGATCCTGATATATTAAGCCCAACGCTTTCCCGAGACTGATTGAGATTGGTGCAAGCTGATCGAGATTCCCAAAACTTAAGTAGTAGCCTTAAACAAGTTTCCCGGCCGCCTTTCAAATGATTACTTAGAGGCACCAGAGAGCTTGTTTTTTGCTTCATCTTTGGGGGTTGATTTACCATAAATTTCTGCACAAAACACGATACTTTAATTTGTTAAATTTAAAGCAATGGCCCCACAGTAACCACAGGAGCCGGTCTACTAGAGATCAGCTTGTTACTGAGTGATACCTCCATTAAAATTAGCCACTAAACGCCTGTTGTAAGTAGTGATAATCCCTCTTTCATTCATTATCTGCTGAGCTATGTAATACGGTTACGGTTGAAA